AGTAAAATATATATAAATTCTATATGAATTTGTGCAATGAACAGCATTTAATCTAATTCTATATGAGTAAGTATATAAGTAAAATATATATAAATTCTATATGAATTTGTGCAATAAACAGCATTTAATCTAATTCTATATGAGAAATATTGAGTAAATAAATGAAGAATATTGAAATCTCTATCTATCGAAGAACTGGAAAAAGTGTTCAAGTCTGTATTATAGAAGAAACAACATTTGTTACAATTTTTCATATGAAGTATTGAGTATATAAGTAAGGAATATAAGTCTGATAAATCTAGTACTGAACATAGAATGTAGATCTAAATGAGGAATATAGATTTGGAAGAAACAGATCAAATATAAGTGAATAAACAAATTATCAGTTATTTAAGTAATTAGTAATATTTCACGCAACTAATTATGTGTCAGAAAAAAACAATTATCCCAACGTCTTTTTGTCTGATAATTAATTACACTTATGATATTTTCAGTACGATGTATAATAAGATAAATAAGCACAATAAATGATATGAACTTCAATATTACAAAATGATAACAATTGCAATAAGTATATAATTAATGATATGATAATAAATTCAAGTACGATAAAGCGTAGTAATTCGAATAATAATGTGATAATTTTATGATGATCGTAATTAGCATACATAATGATTAGCCTAATAGTTCCGTATAATAACTACAAAATAATGTAAAGTTATTCAGTAACTAATCCCTTAAGATGAAATTACTACTTTTAAACTTCTTTAAATTACTTTTAAACTTCTTCAACTGATGGTCTATTCATTCACTTTTTTTTTGTTTCTGAATATTTCCTAAGGTTACAAAAAAAAAAAGAAATATGGAAGTAAACATTAGCAAGAAGAAAGTAAACATTAGCAAACATTATGTCATAAACACTTTTTACAATAACATAAAATTTTACATAATAAATAATGAGTCATATTTTAAGAAAAGAAAACGAAACAAATTTCGTTTATAAATCTAATCTATTACATCATCATCAATGATAAATTCTGATAAAATTCATTATTTCAGTTAATCAATAAAAATGAAAAGTAAACGGATACTGTAAGCCATTTTAATTGCCAATATAAAATAACATATAGAGGAAAGGAAGAAAAAATGATTTTCGTGTTAAACATCCGAATAAACGATGTGGAATGTAACAAATCAAGAATTTTCCCACGCATAAAGAAATACATACTACGGTAACAGATGATAAGTCATATTTTAAGAGGGGAAAAATGCTTGTTACGGTAATACATTGTGTTATATCATTCTTCATTTAACCTAACCAAATACAGCTGATCGGATAATAATATTAATTTTTTGGATTTGAATAAGATAAATAAATGTTCTAGATTTATTTAAAAAAAAAAAGAAACAAAAAAATTTCATTTGTTTATATAAAATTGGAATCTAAACAAAATATAATAATATTTGAAATTAAAAAGAGGAAAGTTATATTTATTAATTAGCATGAAATTCTTACAAAATTGATGAAATTGATTTAGAAAAATAAAAATTCAGCATGTAATTATAATAGTTTAATAATAGAAATTATGTAAACTGGCATAATCAATAAATAATCGATCATATCTAAATAATCAATAAAAATTTGAAAAAGAGGAAGATGAGAGGGAAAAAAAAGGAACAAACCTCGTCAGTGCTTGAAATGTTCAATTGTGTACGACTGGTTATTTCATCGTTGAAACTGTAACGATACTTAAGACGATAATTTGATGTGTGGTAAATACCATGGATATATAATAGCAAAAAATAAATTTAAAAAAAAATAAAAATAAAAAATGGAGAAAATAAATTTTTTGTCACAATTTTTTGTCACAGATATTTTCATTCTTTTTTAAATTTCTTTTTCTTTTTTAAAACATTTTAACATTACAATACATTATGTTTCTTTCTTCTCCCCTTATTTTTTTTTTTTTTTTTTGTTTCGAAAATAAATAAAATCATGAATTCATCACCAAAAGTTTAATTATTCAAATTTTTAATGCCAATGTTAAAATTAATTTGCAAAGTTAATCAGTCGTACACTATGAAATTTGTAGCAATTTAAGTATTTAAATTTATAATTATCATCTTTCTAAAAAATAAAATCATAAAAATCGGTAAATGTTATAACAAACCTCACACAATTATAAAATATGCTAACCTTAATTGAAACAAACATAGATAATAATTATTGATCTTCAACTTAAACTTAACAAATTTAACAGTTTCAATTGCCAAATTTAAACGTACTCGTGTGTGTATGTATGTGTGTGTATATGAGTGTGTGTATGTATGTGTTTATATATATGTGTATGTATGTGTGTATGTGTCTATGTATATGTGTGTGTCAGTATTTGAATGGATATGCATGTATATTAGCTACAATCAATACAATGAACGAGTAATCAATATATACATTATCATTATCAACAATAACTTATCAGTTATCATTTTGTTTTTTGCTCTGAATGGATAATGTAATGTAAGCCATGAAGAGTTTATTGATAATCTATCTGATTGTAAAACAGTAAATATCAGGACAAAGGAAGTAGCTGTATACGATCTTTATCGCTTAATTTACAAATATAACATAATCTGTAAAAGTTTTATCCCGAACAAATAATACTGATTATCCCGGTAGTTCTCAGTTTACAATCAGACTGGTTACTGGCAACTTTCCTCAGCTTATATTTCCATATGATCGGAAGGAAGTGCTAGTGATTGTAATAGTATGCGTATGCTTGTATGAAGAAAAAATCGTGTTTAAATAAAAAAAAAAAAAAAATTGTAGCACAAAGCTAAAATGGAATGAGATAAGTGTTATTATCATAAGGTCAATTATTTAATGTCTTAATTAATTAATCGTTGCAAATGGTCCATTTTATTTTTAAATTTAATTCTAACAAAGATACTAAATTTACCTAACTTGTTCAACAAGTGATGAAACAACATAAACCAAATCAAGATTTGATCGGCCAAGAATTGTTCGTAATGATGGATTTGGAGGATTTTGACAAATTGATAAATGATATTGAATTAATGGTTCCAAGGCGGTATAATCAAGTTGTGGAACATTTATAATATTATTGCATGCATTAAATAGTGCCAAAATTGTAGCACAAAGCTAAAATAAAATGAGGCAAATTTTGATGAAATTTTATTATTTTATTAAAAGTTATTTTAATAAATGAAAAGAAAATTGTATGGAAGGAAAAGAATTTATTACAATTTATTGCTAATAATTGAGAGAAAAAAAAATTCAAGCAAAAGAGAGAGAAGAAAAAGAAAATGCATAAAAGTGGTTTCTTTTTTCTTTTTTTTTTTGCAACTATTAGAAATTTAAAAAATATTTATCAAATCTATAAAAAAAAAACTTTTTCAAATTTAGAATTTTAAAAATATTTGATAATTTTAAATTAAAAATTTTCTTTGAAAGTTTAAAACTATTTGATAAATCTATAAAATTGTTGAAAATACTAGAAATTTGTTTAATTTTCAAGAAATAGTTAAGATAGAAAAAATTTGCGATATTATTTTCATTGAAAAAGCAAAAAAAAAAACAAATTTATACTTTTAGCAGTTATATTATGTCTTTTCGCAAATAATTCTGATAAAAAGAAGAAAAAAAACTTTTTTTTTATTTAAACATACTCTTCGAATTCGTACGTTGTCGTAATTTTCGCATTTTGAAAACTTTCCTACATCAGATATCAATCTACAAACAGCTTTTGTTAATAAATAATCATTCTTATGAATAAATAATCGAAGGTAAAAATTGTCATAATTATTGTTTGGAATAAATGAAGCCTATTATTGGTGTACGACTTTTTAAAGTACTAATGAATTTTACAAAAAGTATTTTAATATGAGACTTTAATAAAACAACATAAACATTTTATAGACTTAATTGAAATATATTTAATTGGAAAAAACAAAAAGTTATTGTTGTTAATTTATTAAAGATTATAATTATCGATGTGAATAAGTCTTGTTGAAATGAATCATTATGCACTTTTTTTTTTTGATTTTTTTTCGAAACCTTTAGAATTTTATAATTTCAGATAATAATGCTTATTGTTGGTTAAGATAATTGATAAGCTTAATTGCACGCAATTAACGCTTTTTTTTCCTCATTTTTTTTCTCCCACATTCCATCCATTGATGAACAGTAGTAACAATAACCGGTAGATATAAATAACAACATTGGAGGATGACAACATTAATGACAGTTTCATTCATCACTTCCGCTCTAATCGCTATATAATCGAGGGATAAAAAGTATATTTTCGGTAAAAACCGGTCAGATATAAATGGAAAAAATCCCAATTATATTGTTAACATTTAGTTGAAAAGTTTTTTTCCCCTTTTTTTTCACGTTTTCAAAAGTTAAGTTTTGAAATTTAAAAGTTTAGTTGTGACAATATTTCAATGGATGTTGTTTTAATGCATGAAAATTCATAAATTAGATTATGATGGAAATATTTTAATGGATTATCACATCGTATAATTCATTAAAATTTACTAATTAGATTGTAGTGAATAATTCTCTTAATTACCATATCATTGAAATATGACAGAAAAAAAGAATGGAATTAACGACAGAAAGAATGGATTAATACTTGAACTTATAATAGAGAAAATGAAGGTATGAATTAAATTTCCTTAAATTATGCCTTCATTTTAAAATTTAACCTATGAATTCAACAGTTTAATTTCAACTGTTAGAATAAAAGATGAACTGAATAAATGAAATTAATTAATAATTGTAATGAATTAAAAGATAGAATTAATATGAATTATAAATGTAAAGGATTTGAGAAAGTCATAAAGTATTGGGATGAAATTTTTGGTTGGAAAATAAATTAGGTATAGGTAATATTAATTTAAATTGATAAGTTACAATAAAACATTAGTTGTATAAATATAAGGCTATTAGAGAAGCTGAAAGTCCCTTTATTTTGTTCCTCCATTTACTGTGAAATTAAATAAAATTTTACAAAATTTTCAAAAATTCAACGTAAGAATAAGATAAATGTAAAAGAGATTTATATTAACAAACAAATTGCTCAAAACAAAGAATAAAAAGATTGAAATATCAAAAATTGTCCAGGAATATTTCATTAAAGCTAATTAATAAATTATGAAAAATGACAAAATGTCCAGTATTCATATTAACTGGAATTCATATTAACTAGGATTTTAACTAAGATTTTGAAGAAAACAATGATTTTTCTTTTTTTTGTTGAATTTTAAAGCAAACTTTCATGTGGTAAGTGACTTTGACCTTTGCTTTTTTCATTCAGGTGTTAAGGTCAATGTGTCTATTATTTAAAATGAACAATGGAATGGATGGATAGACTATAAAATGAAATTCCACAAGGAGAAAATGGGAAAAGTATCAGTGGTAGTTCAGAGAAAGAAAACAAAAGAAAAAAATCAAACAGATGGAGAAGTAAGGAGTGAAATGGTAAATTGTTGTCTAAAAGAAGTGGGGACAATAAAAAATTTGAAATTAGGTGAGGTGAAAATTTTTTAATTCCTGAATTTATTTAGAAAGAAATGAAAAGAATTTTAAATACTGAAAAAATAATCTCAAAATTAGGAAATATTATTTTGAAAATATGCTAAAAATTAATCATTTTGGAGGAAAAATGTATTTTATCAAGGATATATTATATGTAAATAAATGTATTCTTAAAAATTGAATAACAAAATGTTACAATTAATAAATTAAAATAACACATAGATAATTAAATAGTGTATTAAATTAAATACAATGTTTAAAAAAATTAAGTATTCAATTGAAAATTTTTATAGTAATCAAAATTTTATAAATTGAGATATATTCACATTCATTTAAAAGAGCGATAATAAATTTTTTAGTACAAAAATATATCAAAAAAATAAATGAATGCCAATTAACGCTCAAAAATAAATAATAAAATATTTCAGCGTATAAATGATAAAAATAGGCAAATAATAAAAGAAAAAACGAAAAAATTAAAATTAAAATGATAAATGAATTGAAAATGAAAAAAAAAGGAAAACCTGAAATAAACGACAATTAAATTGAAATAGAAATTAAGCCATGAATTGAATGGGACTAAATCGAATTAAATTGTTGTGTTAAAAATGAGGAGGTAAAGAGGAGGAGAAGTGAAGAATGAAAGGAAGGAAGAGGGAAGAGTGGACAAAAAGGGATGATAGGTTTGGCAGGAGATGAATTGAAAATGCCACGTGTGGTGGTCATTGACGAAATGGGGTGGTAGTTGGTTAAATAATAATAATATAGTTGAGAAGAAGGAATTATTGTCCTTTCATGGGTGATGAAGATGATGATGAAGATGATGCTGATGCTGATGTTGATGCTGATGCTGATGTTGATGCTGATGCTGATGATGATGATGATGACGATAATGATGGTTATGATGATGATCATGATGATGAAGATGATCATGATAATGTAATAGTAGAAAAAGAGAATTATAGAAGGTAATTTCAAAACAGATACGTATACATCTATCCATCTCTATATTAACATCTCTCATTGATCACTGACCACTGTGTACATTTCATATTTATATATCATTTAGTACGTATAAGATTCATCTGTTCTCCATGTAATACATAAGTTTGAACATATCGAAAATCTCGGTCATGCTATCATCACTTTCTTTCTTTCAACCTAACTATTATCAAACCATTTCATTTACCTATAGTAAATACCAGGGAATGAATGATTAATATTACAATTGTTATTGATAAGATTAAATTTCGAGAATATTATAATGATTATATCTGTTTCAATTATCATTAATCATCATAGCATTATCATTTAAGATAGCAATGATACTAGTATAGTGAATATGATATATTATCGAATACAATGATAGGCATTATTGAGGATGATTATAATATTGATTATGATAACATATCGCTAAATTTATTGGCTAATTAAGAAGAATTATACTGATATTGTTGTATTTTGTATATTCTACGAGTATGTTTGCTATATTAGCTTAATTTCTTAAAAGGTATTATAGCTTTCATACTTAATAAAATCTTAATAACAAAACATTGAAAGATAACTAAAGAAACTAAATAAATTTAATTTAATTTAATTTTTTCCCAATAATTATTGACAAATAATAAGAAATGGTCATATGACAAAAAAAAAATGATAAAAATTACAGAATAAAATTTGAAAACAAAAGGACTTAAAATTCTTAAAACTAAAATCCTTAAGTTTTACTTCTATTCTATTAGATTAAAAATACCCAATAGAATTGATAATTTCTAACAATAAATGTTATATTATTAATAACACCAATAAAAGAAAAGTAATAAAAATATCTTTTTGTTATAAAATTCCCCAATATATTTACTATAGGATTACATAAGTCATTTCAAATCAAACACATATCATTGTTCCATAAAATGCCTTTTTAATAATTTTATTACTTTGGCTTCGCTTCTTCTTTCTCATTTACAGAATTGCATTGAAATTACAAAATTTTATGGAAATAGTACTTGTCTATTTCATTTATTCTCTAATATTACTGATAAAGAATCCTAATTTCCTTTCCATTTCTTTTTCCCATTATCATTAAATGTCATCCTGTTGTGTAGCTTTTTAATATGATAACGATTATATTTGAATTAAAATTCATACAGACTCATACACATGCATATACGTACACATACATATATCATATATATGTATTTACATATACATTTCTATAGAAATATGATAATAAAGATAAAGGAGACTTTCTGGTATTTATTACGGTATTTCTGGTATTTAGACCTTCTGGTATTTTATTATTATTTATTAGCTGTAATTTCTTTGTTACGTATATTCGAAAACAATTATTAAATTTAATTGTTTAAATTACGCAAGAATAAAACGAAAAAAAGATTGTCGAAGGATTGAAATTACAAAATTTTATGGAAATAGTACTTGTCTATTTCATTTATTCTCTAGTATTACTGATAAAGAATCCTAATTTCCTTTCCATTTCTTTTTCCCGTTATCATTAAATGTCGATTGTCGAAGTTAATTACAATGCCTATATTATTTCAAAGTCTTTTTATGTTCCTAATTCTTGTACTTGACGTTTTTTAGCTTCCGTTAAAATTGTTATATTAAATAGATTAAAGTCTTCTTAAATTAATTAATAAATTTTAATGGTATTTATTATATTTTAACAAACATAACTATTATATTAAGCATTTCCAAAAATTGATTAAATATGCCAATAAAAATGATAATTTATGCAAATTGATATGCATATTGGTGTAGTACGGTGTTATTTTTGATAAAAACGGGTTATTATACATTTTCATGTTAGGGGGAAAAAAAAGGAAGATAAAAGATAGGAAATGAAATTAATACTTTACAATGATTTTATTATTTCGAAGTATTTTTTTTTCTCATTCTTAATTCTTATTCTTTTTACAAAAAAAGTAACTTTTTTTGGTTAAAAAAGTTAAATATTTAAAAAAGTCCTTTTTTAACAATTTATCATATTAAAAATTATTTCTCGTCATGTTATAATTTATCAAATATTAACTGTTGTTGGAAAATATAGGAAGAAAGGATAGATAGATTCCATTATGAGAATAAAAAAAAAATTTTGCAAAAAATCAAATAATTTATTTACAAAATTTGTACAATATTGGAAAATCTTACAGTATCATTGCAGTATTGTTTTTTGTAAAATTTCTTTTCTTTACATTAATTGATAGGTATAGGCTTATCACAGGATCCAAAATAAAGAAACAAAATTTTGTCGTTTAAAATTGGATAAGATTAATCAAAAATTCTCGTAACAACTATTTGACTATAAGAAAGTAATGATACCTGCACATTACTTCTTTACTTCTACAGACATCTCTCTTTACTTTACACATTACTTCTACAGACATCTCTTTGTCGCGGGAAGAAGCTTTATGGGGTCACGAGCTATGCTAGCAGTGGTTTATACCTTCCATGCCAGACACATCTCAACTAAAGAATCCGACAAAGTGCGTCCACCGGGATCCCCCGGTTAAGAGTTAGGACAGTTCCGCGCAGGTCGTGCTTTAGCTAAAAAATTCACTGCGCAGTATGGAACTCACATTTGTAATTTTTGCAATAAATGCGGGTAGTATCCTTTCCAAATCATCGTTCACAAAGCTAGCCATGATGATAACGATGTATATTGATTAGTGATAACAATTACATTGATATGTCATTTATATATTTCTTCTATGTTTACATATATATTTAATCTTTATTTATTAATTTCTTATATTTTAAATCAAATATACTGTTCCGTGATGAATTGTTTGTATGGTTTTTCGAATCCTTCAAATTGTTCCAAATCTTCACGTAAGAAAAGTAAATATCTTGGAATATGTAATCGATATAGACAAATTAACAAAAATTGCGATATCCAATCCTATAAATTATATGTTTTAATTCTTTTCTTTTCATTTTCATATTTTTATGATATAAACATTTCATAAATTATTATTATCATAAAAAGAGCGAAAAAACGTGAAAAAATTAATTGTTTAGTCAAATTTTATTGGAAAGAATTTCATAAATGGTTATTTTAAAAAGCATACTTCATCATCAATGTAATGCTCAAATTTCATATACGGTATATTTGCTTCTGTAAGTATTTGACGTGTTGTTCGGATAGTTTTTCCATGACAACTATGAGATAGATCAAAACAGTTTGGTATTATTTTATTTATTATTCTGAAATTATCATTCAAATCAGTATCATTCAACCGAAATTATTTAAATGTTTTTTGCTCATTTGAGTATCATAAAATGTATATGTTTATTGTTATGATAATAATTCTATACAATAATTGACTCTACCGTATTTAAATGATTGTACACTGCAACTGATATTATTCCACAATATGTAAAAGACTGTATATCGTAATTTACTTCATTCAATTGTATATAAATGGATTTACTTCATTGGCTTACCTTCATTTTTGCTAAATAACAAAAATCAATCGTTTCATAATTTCAAATGTACAATGATTACTTCATTCATTTATGCATAATTGTATAAGTATCAATTTAAAAAATTATTACTTGCGTAAATGTGTTCCATAGCGTAATGAATAGATAAAATCGTCGCTATCAATAAAGAGTTCTCGACAAGTTGCCTAAAAGAAAAAGAATGTGACAAATAATGGGGAAAAAAGAGAGTTAAAATTTCAAGAAAAGTTATTAGTTTTCAAAAAGTTTTTAAAATTAACAATTTTTTGAAACAAAATAAGAAATGATAGTAACACTTCAAGCCATCGTTGAGACTCATTCATTGCCATATCCAAGAAAAATTCTAATTCATCGTTATCAAAATATCCTTTCATTGTTATTATCATATATTCTTTCTTACAATCTTATCTTTTCCATTTGTCAATTTGATTCTTACTTCAATTTGTCCTATTTATCTGCAATTTCAATAATTATTCAATAATGTTCGGAATTTTTTAACTTTGATGTCATACATTTGTTTTATCAATATCATTTATCAATCGATTCTTCCACCGATAATTTTCTTCGCATGTGATAATTTAGGGAATAATTTTACAGATTTTATATTTATATTGCAACACTTGAGATTATCTCAAAAATAATCATCATGAAAATTTGTTCTTAGAAATGTTGAAAAATAATTAAGTATAACTGTAATCTGAATACTTTATGTATAGGTTGCGAAAATTTTTCCAACATATATATATATGTATATGAAATTTTGAATTTCACAAAGAATATTAAAATGTATTTTAATATGATTAATTTCAAATAAAATAATTCATAAGGAAATGATCCATAAAAGAAACGAATAATTCATAAGGATAAGTACGATAGGAATAAATAACAAGAATTAAATGCACAACAAATAATTGTGTAATTATATTACGAAAGAATGATATAAATGGAAAATATTTTGGATAAAAAAAGGAAAAAAATGAAGAAAATTTCAGGTGAATAGCTAGTAATTTTTGAGATAAATGATAAATCGCAAAATTTTGCAACAGAAAGTTTAATAAAAATTCTAAAATATCATTTTAAATTATTTTCAATTGGATGATAGCAATAAGTGAGTAATATAAAATCAATAAATGAAAAATAAAAAGCATATAAATGAAGAGAAATAACTAAAAGATTATCAAATATCATACTAATTAATGCAAAATACTGGAAAAAAATGCTGATTTAATTACTAAATACAGTGTATTGGAATTTGAAATTAATAATATTGAAAATTGGAATTAAAAAAAAAATGTTATGGAATAAGCAACAACTGGAATAATAGAAATTCAAAAATTTGTTGCAATTTAAATATAGAATAAAAAAAAAACGCAGAAATTAACAGTGTTTGGGAAGACTGAAAGCGAATGGAATATATCTGAAGGGAAAAATGATCATTGTTTGTTTGTGCTACAAAAGTGGAACCGCGAAAGGTCAAAAATTTGAAATTAAATGTGTCAAAACCAAGTCATGAAAAGAGTGTAATCTCTGAATGGTATCATTTTTGTCATCTTAATATTTGAATATGATTAAAAATTAACAATTCATTTATAATTGTCTTGATAAATTAGTTGAAAAGATCAAGTTTTCTTTTTTTTAGCAAAGTAATGGCCGAATGAAAAAATTGTTAAAATAATTTGCATAAAATTTACTTAATGCAATATTTTAAATTGTCTTTTCTTTTCTGTATTTTGTATGAGCTTCATATTTTGTTAGGTTAAAATTGTTAATTTTAATCATATTCAAATTTTCTTTGTAGAAATGTAATATTGCAATATTTATTTGCAGTTATGATAACAAAGAATTCAATCTTATTTAAAAAAAAAAAAGACAAGTGAATCATTTATTCCTTGATTTTAGCGCCGAAATTTAACATTTTTTTTTGCGCTTATATGAAAAAATCAAACATTTTCTTGAAGAATTTCAGCTTTCGGCTTGAAATGATAATTTGGCATATTGGAAAATATAATTATTCTTTCATGTTTTTCACATTGCATATTAATTATCAAAAAAGGCATTTTAAATTTGAAATTAGTAAATTCCCAAAGTGAAATTTAATAGACAATTAAACGGTGTATAATTAAATTTTCAATTGAAATATTTTAATCTAAACGAAAATAAGCTAACATTGCAATATATTAAATCTGGTTTTTTTTTTTTTTTTTTCTAAATCCGAGGGCACATATTTGAATTGACTCGAAAAAAAAGGAAGCTAAAAGTTTATTTGTAATGGACAGCAATAATGTATTTGTAAGCCAAACATTAGCGAAAGTAATTTCAAATAATCAATCAAATCAAATGAAAAAAACGTGGAAAAATTCACTAATATTTATTTGAATTAATCAATTTGTCTCAAATATTACATAAAAATATTAAATTTATGAAAAGATTTAATGAAAAAAGAATTCGACCATAGAGATTAATAACAAATACTACCAAATATTATTTTGTTATCTGATTAGTACAATGATTATCATATATGCATCTCATTTCAGGAGATTATTAGGAATGAATTCTCATCTACACTTTTTCTTTGTTAAAAATAATTTTAAAAATAAATAAATGGGAGAGATTTAATATTTAAATGAAATTATTTGAAAAGGGACACGATCAAAGTGATCAAAGTGAAGTGGATAAAAAAAGAAGTAGGAAAATTGATCAAAGTAATCAGCATAAGTAGGATAAAAGTGATTGA